GGTGAGCACATGTTAATGGAGATAGTTCATAATTTCAAAAAGTGAATCCTTCCCAGCCTCAAATTACAGAAAGGATCATCTGATATTTACATCTAAGTAAATGACTGTGTCTTCCAGTCTGGGTGACAGAGTGGGACTCCGACCAAAAAAAAAAAAAAAATTGATTGTAAAGATGATGTCTTGCTGGTCTCAAACCCCTGGTCACAGGCAATCCTCTCACCTCAGCCTCCCAAAGTGCTGGGATTACAACAGGCTTGAGCCACCATGCCCGACCGAAATACTGTTTTTAGACTAGGACCTAATAGATATTTCGTAAATAGAATGAATAAACTCACTTTAGCCCTGTAGTCAGTGAGATCAAAGGTAAATTATTGGGTCACTGCTGACTTGAAATGGGTCTTAATTATTTCTGTGTGTAGCATCCAGAAAACCTTTATCCCTATGCTATGTCCTTTTTTAGGACCTTCCTAATCCCTCAGCTCTCACACTTCTACCTGTTCTGTCACTATCTCAACTCTAAAACCTAACTGCCCAGAGCAGACATAATTCCCATCAATTTGGCTGGAATGTGTCTCTCTCTGAAAGTAATTATCCAAGGCTTTGGATGAGGGGACTGCCTTTCTGTCTGATCCTTGCCCTGCTCCCACTCTGAAGAAAAAAATTGCCTGAGATACTCCATACACAAAAAGCTATTTGACCTCCATCTCTTCCTCCATTCCCCTCCACCACCACCCAGGACTTATCTGACCTGGGAGCCCTGTGAGGGAAGATAGCTGGAACTAAGTATTCCACCTCCCGGCAGGGCCCTGCAGACTCTTAGAAGGGTCTACAGAAGGATGGACAGCTGTCACTAGCTCTGGCCATTGCCCCAGCTGCTGTTTCATAAGTATTGGAGCTTTTGCTCTCCGTTCCTTTCGTGCAGTCTCCCAGAAGAAAGACCCCAGGATCAGAGTCAGTACTTAGATTGTCACCCTGGTCATTCCAAGAAAGGGTTTCCAGGCAGCCACTAGGGGGACAGGAAACTAGGAAAATGGAGCAAGTACCCTCTGACTCTTCATTTATTTATTTTTTTTGAGTTGGAGTCTCACTCCTGGCCACAGCAGCCTCAACCTGCTGGGCTCCGGCGATCCTTCTGCCTCAGCCTTCCAAGTAGCCAGAACTACAGGTGTGCGCTACCACGCCTGGCTAAATTTTTCTGATTTATTGTAGAGACGAGGTCTCACCAAGTTGCCCAGGTGGGTCTTGAACCTGTGGGCTCAGGCAATCCACTTGCCTCGGCCTCCCAAAGTGCTGGGATTACAGGCTGAGCCACCAAGCCCAGCCCCCTTTGACTCTTAATTCAAATAGGAGCCAGCTGCTCACAGGTGTGAAAATTATTACCTGCTACTGTTTTGTTTTGTCTTTGAGTTGGAGTCTCACTCAGTCACCCAGGCTGGAGTGCAGTGGTATGCTCACGGCCACT